CGGGCATTCGTGATCGTCAAATCGGCCCAGATTCAATCTGGGCCGTTGGGCTCATTTTTACTTGTGAGTTCACTAGCTCACAGGATCATTTTCCATATATATATATATATATATTGAATGGCCAACTTGATTTGTTATAAAACCAGGCACATTGGTTGCATAACCAAAAGAAAAAAGAATCGCTTGTGTACATGAAGAAATATTAGTGTATGATTAGCATGAAATGTGCCTGAAGGTTGAGGACTTCAAAAAAAAGAAACAATTAATACAACCTGACAATTAACTTGTAAAGTGTGGGCTCTCCCCTACCACCAAAATCCCAAGCTTTCAATTGGGTGGTACACTACAAAACTGTCCTTAAATCCAAGCTCCCCCACCCCCCCTCCCTCGCCCAAAAAATAAAATAAAATAAAATCCTACAATGGTTGACTTTCTGGGGTGTGCAACGGTCTCGGCTATGATTTGAGGAATATGGATAGAACAAACAGTCGTACTTCGGAGCCCAGATCTCGGAAGTAGGAATCAAATTGAAGCCCGAGATATCTTTTGGACAAGAAGCCAAAAGGAAATCAAGGTTTTCTCTCAAGAAGATCTCATGACGAATTGGAGGGGTTATTCTGCTTTCAAAATCTATGAGAAGCAAGCAACAGAGCCATTGGTCCCCTTTGGTGCCAAATCTCATCAAATTAAACTTTTACGCTTGCTCCTTTGGCAACTCTAGACCAGCAGCGATAGGTGGACTGCTCAGTGACTGCCAGTTACAGGTAGTCCTCACCTTCTCAGGCCCTATTGGGGTCACAAGTTCTGCCATCGCCGAGGCTAGGGCCCTGTTGGAAGGCATCAAACTCTTCGACATCAGCTGGGGGTCAACTATTTCTAGCAGAAGGAAGCTCCCAAAATGTAATTTCTTGGACCGCAACAGCGACCATGATGCCATGGAGAATACAACACTATTCGTCCAAATCAGTGTGCTAACAAGTGCTGTTTGTTTCAGTTCTTTATGTGGCTGGCCCTATCCCAGAGGGTGCTCACAGTTGACCAGCTCCAAAGAAGAGGCTTTCCTCTTCCGAACCGGTGCGTTTCATGTTTGGCAGATGAGGAAACCAATGCCCATATGTTCCTGCACTATCCCTACACCTTCTATCTGAGGGAGGAACTTCTTAGCCTTTTCAATATACAGTGGGTACTTCCCGCCGATGTACCTTCCATTTTCTCTGCTCTGCAACCTTTCCTTGGCCTAAGGCTGGGATTTTACTCTGGAAATCTTCGGTGGCAGCCTTGCTTTGGGCTATTTGGATTGGATGCAACAATAGAATCTTTCGGGGGGAGTACTCTATGTGGTACAAGTCCTCGCCAAGATCAAATCCACAGTTGTATTATGAGGGTCTAATCACCACAGATTCAAAGGGTTATCTACTTCGGCCTTTTTCCAAGACTGGACTGTTGTTCTTCAATACAGCCGCAAGCGCTTACCTTGGGCATCCTTTTGGAGACCTCCTCCACTCAAAAATCCCAAGCTTAACTTTGCGGTTGCTCCCTCGGAAATCCTGGGCCGTCGAGTGTAGGTGCTATCGTCAGGTACCACCTTTGTACAACGGTGGCTTCTATCTCTAAATCTATAGGTCACGCTGACTCTATGGAGGCTGAGACAGTTGCACTGTTGGAAGGGCTCAAGCTGGTTCAACCCCTAACCTTCCCCTCTATTACTATTGGGGGAGATTCCAAGAATGTCATTACTTGGGCTCAGACGCCTTCTTCTTCCCCACCACCCTGGTTCCTGGCTCAGTATTTTGATGAGATTGACTACCTCTGCAGTATGCACACCTCTTGGAGGTATATTTGGAGGAAAGGAAACCAGGAAGCCGACACCCTAGCTAAAGCAGTGCCATCAATGGCTGAAAACTGGCATGTCTTTTTGGATCGGCATCTTTTTTTGGGTTGCATTTTTTACTGTAACCTTCAAAAAGAAGGCTTTTTTATTTTGCCTTTTATCTTTTTCTTTCTTCTTAGTGCAACCGCCCGTGGTTTGCCTAGGTCTCTGCACATCTATTCCTATCATTTAAGTGTTAACTTTCTCAAAAGAACAAGTGCTGTTTGTTTCAAACAGGTTTGGAGGAAGGGCAACTCCAAAGTGGACTCAGGCTAGGCAGGGAGCCACATGTCACATATTGATGTAAAAAGCTCTCATGGGGATGCTTAAAATTGAGTTTCCCTCCCTACATATCCCCCACCCCCTTCTCCCTCTTCTGTCAACACTCTCTCTCTCTCTCTCCTACTCCCTATTTTTTGGGGCTTGTTAGCAGGTATGCTGACTAGCACGGCTACTTCACAATTTGTTTATAGAGATCTCCTTGATCTGCATCTCTCTCTCTCTCTCTCTCTCTCACACACACACACACACACGCACACACACACACACACACACACACACACACACACACACACACACTCACACACACACACACACCTTCCCTTTGTTCATTTTGTGACTAAAAATACTTTCCGCACTCTGCCTCTCTATATTGATGTATGGGTAGGAGACATGGCTTACAAAAGTTTATGGACATTTTTTTTTTTTTTGAAGCTGTTAACTTAGTTTGTATGAACATTACAATATTATAAATGTGTAATCATCTTATTTCCTAATACAATATATACAATCAGTCTCAAAATAAATAATGACATATCATTATTGAATGTCCTCTTTAAGCACGACCACAAACCGCTTTGTATGTCATTCAGACGAGTGTCCTATGACCACCAAACTCGCCTTAGCACAAGAGCACATGAACAATATGCCAATATCTTTTCTTCCAATCAGTTAACAATAATCAAAAGAATAATTAAGCTACAATATATGAGGGGCGTTCCCCCAGTCCTTACTATAGAAAGACTGAACCAGCAAGAACAAGCATTGCGTTATTATTGACTACTCCAACTAAAGACATTGCTGTCAGAAAACAGCATACTCATATGCTAGCATAAATGCATGATGCCGACAAGGATAACAATAAAAAAATGGTGCCATAATGTGTATATCTACAGATGAAATAAAATTTTACTACAGAGACATTTCTAAAACGCAGGGGATGAATGAAACAAACGTTAACACAAAAAGTTTTCAAGACATGAATAAAGAAAGTACCTTTTTCTGACAGCTGAGTAGCTTCTGCATCCCCTTCTACACAATGCAAAAACCAACGAGGACAGAAAAAAGTTCAGCATGAAACAAAAACTATAGAAAGAAATAAAAATTAATCGATAGATTCAAAATAGATTCATTTAAAGACAAAAAATCTGCCCCCTAGATGGGTCATGCATGATAAATCAATAAAGATAAATCACCTTTTGATTGATTAGATTGTTCTTGAACTTCTTGCATCTTCAAATTTACGAGGAATCAACAAGCTTAATAACTTGGGGTGATTACTCCTGGACTGAACAAAAGCATCAAAAAAAAGCATCAAAAGAATGGGACCTTTAAGTGTATGTTACTGCTACACATAGCATATGCTTCTTAAATCAACATAGTTTCCAACTGAAATCCAAGAAGAGATCAGTGAATGGTGAGAACATTTGTTCCATGCAGCTGTTACAAGCTAGACACAAAGAAATAAACATGCACGATAATAAATATGCACATGAAACTAGAAACGTAAGCAACGATGTGACTACATAGTGACACAACAATGTCTTGGCACGCTACTTGTACATACTTTGCATAAAGTATCAATATGGCATAAAATCAATACTAGTATCAGGTACTCTTAAGCTAATTATAAAAAAAATGATATGATTTAAAAGATATACTATGAATTAATATAAAATTTTGTGTGTTAATTTAATAGATCTACAATCATGACAAGGGATCACACTATTCTCACAATGTAGATGGATCTGCTTCCCCAATCTCCCTGAATTTCTTTTCCAGCATGATGCCACTGTAAGACCAAGTCTTGGTTGAATTGAATCTTAACCACAATATTGGATCTCCACTGACCAGCTTCTTTTCAGGTGGATATTCTGGGCACTCTTGGCTTGAAAGCTTTGAAGACCTCTAGAACCATTCAAGTTTGTAGAAAGCATGAAAAAATGCAACCATGCCACCATTACTTTAATCCAGCACACCACCACTAGGCATTACCATGACTTCTCTTTCATCACTTCGAAACTCATGAATTCTCTGGGATCTTGACATCTGGGGCTATTAATCTTCTGTAGCTAAATTTCATAAAAGTAGGCTTCTAAAGTTCAATACAAGTGATCAAATCTCTTATCCTATTACACATGTGGCTACTGCTTTTATTCCCTTCTATTTTAGATAATGTACAGAGCACCAGATGTGTGGGATGCCATTTTTTGGAGATATAATTCTGTAACTATAGCTTACTTAATACTATAATTAACTTCTCCCAAAAGAATATTTTTTTTAGGCACAATGTCTCTTTCTCTCTCTCTAAGATATATATATATATTGATGTACTTGTAGTTGGAGATTTCGAGTTGAAACTGAAGAGTGGGAGCACATTGATCCTAAAGTAAGCACTTTATGCTCCTGATATGAGGATGTGCTTGGTTTCGGTTCCTAAGATGTCTATGGCTGAATTCATTACCACT